CAGCCCTTGCCCCGCGTGCGCCCGCCTCCTGGCGCCCGCCTGACGCGGAGCCTTCTCGGGGTTACCGCAGCCGCAGCACGTGGAAGGACCGGCAGGAGGGCGGGAGGGAGCCCCGGGACCAAGGTCACTGGGGCGGACCTGGGTCCAGTACCGGGCCCCGGGGGCCGCGCGTTTGGAGACCGGAGTGAGGATGCCGTGATTCATTCGTACAGCCACGGAACAGTCTGGTGAAGTGACTAACCCAGTGAGTTGGAGAAGCACGCAGGGAGCCAGGGTGAACTACCCTCAGTAAACTCAAGTGGCTCAGTTGTGTCTAATGGCTCCGCCTTTGTATTTGTGAATTATGACACCGGTATTTATAGACTTTTCTTTGCAAGAGACTCACTTGGTTACTTGAATTGATTCTGACTTTCTAAGAATTGAATGCAACCAGATTTATTGCTTTTCTGAAATTTTTCCTTTTTGGTTCGGTGTTATTTGGACTAATTCTAGCATAATTTGTAGCTCTGTGTTTTTTCTTTTTTGTTTTGTTTTTTGTGTGTGTGTTTTTGAGACAGGGTCTCGCTATGCAGTTCAGGCTGGCCTTGAGCTCACTTTGTAGCTCAGGCTGGTCTCGAACTCAAAGCAGTCCTCCTGCCTCAGCCTCCCGAGTGCTGGGATTACAGGCATGCACACCACCACCACCGGCTCTTGTAGTTCCATTTGTCAAGTTCCGTTTTCCCACACAACACCAGATATTTTAACTTCTTTAGAAGTTGAGTCTAAGAAAGCAGGATTTACTTGCTATGTTATGAGGCAAGTAAATGTATGGTTCAGCCACAAAACCAACTAGATAGTTTACAGACTTTTACATAGTAAGTCCAGAAAAAGCTAATTTCCCTGTAACACAAGGACCCTGGCACATAATACTTTCTGAAATCCCCGAAATTTTCCTAGGAACTAGGGGCCCTGTTTTCATCAGATTCTGAAGGAGGATGTGACCCAAAAACAGTGCTTTAGTATATAAATTCTTGGCTTAATAGAATTTCGTATTTGCGCTTACCGGTACGTTCTGTCTTCTCTGATTGGGAAAGCTGGTTTTTATCAACTGTAAGCCATAGGTAAGAAAAATGGTAATAAGTACTGTAACTTATTACTAAGTGACTGAAATGAGTCTCTGGCCCTGGTTCTCTTTCCACTCTACCCCGCCACCTCTCATATATATTGTATAGATACTTGCTTACATACTTGTTCTCTTTCCAGAGGAAAATAACTGAAAAAAAAGTGATTAAAAATAGGAAATTAGTTTCTGAAAATTTTTGCTTACTATTCAGAAGAGTAATAGTTACTACATTATTTCCTCACTTTGGAAATAATGTAGTATTTGGAGGACCATATTCCAGATTATTAATAACATTAGTTAAAATTTGTTTCATTTTATTTTATTTGTGGTGCTGGGGACCCAACCCAAAGCCTTGTGCATGCTAGGCAGGTACTCTATCCCTGAGCTACACATCCAGCTCAAATAATAGTTTATTGAGTGATAACTATGTTTGAGGCACTATGCCATGCATTTTACATATGTCACCTTATTTAATAATCAGTATCTCTATGAGCGTAGTGTTACAGCTTTCGTTTTCATTTCTGTAGTCTGCGGAACTCAAGTAGGAAGGTGGTAGAGTGAAGATTCAGACGTATGTTTGTCCCTTACCTTTTGTGGTTTATTTTTGTCTTTTTGAGACAGGGTCTCGCTACGCAGTTCAGGCTGGCTTTGAGCTCACTTTGTAACCCAGGCTGGTCTCCAGCTCACAAGATCCTCCTGGTTCAGCCTCTCAAGGGCTGAGATTACAGACGTGGGCCACCATGCCTGGCATATATTTGTGGTTCTTAATTATAAGGTAGTAGCACCAGAAAGGGGATAAATTAATTCATTTGGGAGTAGTTAAGACTGTTTATGCTCCTTCAGTTATTAAGCATTAAAGTATATTTTTAAAATAATTAATTTAGCATTTACCCATCTTTGTGTCTAAGTAGGCTCTTTAAAAACAGAATATTACTATGTTTTAACTGCTAATATGTTTTGAGATTCCAAGTAGTTATATATTTCATAATTACCTTTGCATAGTTTTTCCAGTAGGTAGTTCATATCGTTCTTGTATGAACATTATAGAATTTTAGTGTATGGAGCAATCTTAAGGGTTCTTTTAGTACAAAGATATTGGAATCCCGGATAGCTATAAAAAGTGAATTGTAAACTAGATTTTTGATGGAAACATGCATTTCAGTGTTAGGATCTGTAGAGTTGTCATCTTCTCTCAGATAATAGAGATTCCCAAAAAATCAGAACCTCTAAACCTTCTCCTTTGTCACAGCAAATTAGTGTGATCAGACTCATCCAGAATCCAGATCACCAGACTCCCATTTCAAAATTCTTGTTTTGTTTGTTTTGTTTTGTTTTTTTGTGATAGGGTCTTGCTATTAGTTCAGGCTGGCCTTGAATTTACTGTGTAATCCAGGCTGACCTTGAACTCAGAAGTGATTCTCCTGCCTCAGCCTTCCAAGTGCTGGGATTATAGGTGTGTACCACCACATCTAGCTTCAAAATAATTTTTTTACTTTAAATTTTTTTGACTCAATCATATTGCTTCTCAGAATCAACATATTAGAATAACATACATGTTACATTTTATTGCTGGATAAGGGATTTCTTTTTTTTTTTAGGTTTCTTTTTCTGGTACCGGGAATCGAACTCATGACCTAGTGCTTGCCAGGCAGGCACTGTGCCGCTGAGCTAAATCCCCAGCCCCTTGGTGGGGGATTTCTAAATGGGGTTTGTGTGGATTCAGTTCTATTTAAGTTATTAGATAAATTGGCAAATGTAAAGTATAATATTGGTCTGTAGGGTAAAAACAGGTATTTGTGGATTTTATAGGTCTCAACATAAAGAGTGGTGTTTCTCCCCAAATGTAGTAACAATGCTTTATCTTTGATTCAAGACGGTGAGGTTTCTTGCTAGAAAATAAATTTGAAGATACACTAGTTAGAATAAGGAAGAAGTTTATAAATTAAACATGGTATGCAAGTGAAGTTTTTATTCTCAAAACATTGGACAAAGGAAACAGGGTTTTGGGGCTGGGGATTTAGCTCATCAGCACAGCGCCTGCCTGGCAAGCGGAAGGTCATGAGTTTGATTCCTGGTACCAGAAAAACAACAACAACAACAACAACAACAACAAAAAAAGGGAACAGTGTTTAAATATGTCCTCAAAGCTGGGTGTGGTGGTGCACACCTGTAATCCCAGCACCCAGGAGGCTGAGGCAGGAGGATCACTGCGAGTGCCACGAGTTTGAGGCTAGCTTGGGGTACAAAATGAGTTCAAGGCCAGCCTGAACTGCATAGTGAGACCCTGTCTCAAAAAGACCAAAAAAAAAAAAAAAAAAAAATCCTCAAAATCCCTTTTCCAGAAATTTTACTGGCTTTTTCTTAAGAAGCCTAAACCTCAATTTTAGAGGCTATTTGGCATTCCTCAGAGTAAAGCTGAGCACACTTTCTATGCTAACATTCTTTTCAGTAAGTTTTTGGTACCGGGAATCGAACTCAGAACCTTGCACTTGCCAGGCAGGCGCTGTGCTGCAGAGCTGTCTCCCTGGCCTACCCTGTGCTTTTTATAATATATGTCAGGCAATGTTCTTTTGTTTTAGCATAAATGAGATGCACTATACATGTTGTCCCTGATTCTAAGAGAAATTCTTAGAGATACCATATAATAAGGAGTTCAAACTGTACAGAAGAGCACGTGGAGAGAATAAAATCTTTCTAAGCTCCCATTTCCCTCTTCAGGGATGACTGTTTCTTAGGTATCTATGTGGAAAATCTCTATAATCATATAAAATCATACCTACCTAACTTCAAAAAAAATTTTTTTTCCTTTGAGACAGGGTCTCACTATGTAGTTCAGGCTGGCCTTGAACTCATTATATAGCCTAGACTTGCCTCGAACTTGAAGTGATCCTCCTCCCTCAACCTCCCCAGTGCTGGGATTACAGGTTCCACCTGTAATCACCACGCTGGGCCTAAAATGTATTTTTACTTATTCATTACTGTCTTTTGGAGACAGGGTCTCGCTATGCAGTTCAGGCTCACCTTGAGCTCACTTTGTA